AGGAGAGAATCAGAGCGAAAGACGCAGGAAAAAAAAAAAAAAAAAAAAAAAAGAGAGGAAGAGACAGGGAGAATAGGAATTACAGTAATCACAGTGCAAAAGGTGAAAGAGTAAAAAAAGGTAAGACAAGACAGCCGGAGAGAAAGACGGAGACAAAGGCAGCCGACATGACGAGCAGATATAACACATTAAAGGAAGCCCTCGTTGGCTTCTGACAACGCTTGAGGGAAATGAGACGTCGAGTGTTAGAAGTCTACGTTTCGCCTTTGGGGCTCTCAGGGCTGCATCCATTTAACTGATAGAAGCGAGACAGGTAGATATGTGTCTTGACTGGGGGCACTGCATCTAATGCAGTGTTCAGGCTCCGGGATGCCCTCGCTATCATGTCAACACGGATTCCTTTACCCCATTCTGTCTTTTTCTACCCTCTTATGACCCCAGATTACTCTCACTCTGCCTCTCATTTGTTACTCCCTCTTCCACTCCCCCCCACACACGTCCCTGATACTTCTTTCACACCACAAAGACGTTTAACTTCTTCCCCATTGCCAGTAGAGGAGTTTGCCTTTCTGATGATCTTCCCCTGGCGAGTCTTGTTGCGTGTCAAGAATGTTCCGAAAACTGAGAAGCTCTCTCACCTCGCTTGTTTTGCCACTGTTGCATTTTGCACGATACTAAGAAAGAATACGCTCCTGGACGTTGTTTCTAAGATGTAAAAAAAACACAAACGTTCATGGCTATTTACACGGCAACGGCCAGAGGTTCACCACATGTCATAACATTGAGAAGAAAATTGAAGTGTCAGCATCTGGACTGCTAAACTACAGAAGAACAAATTAGTGCATTCACCCAGATGTTATGTTTTCACTTGACCTGAGCATGAATGCCGATTATTTGCATTCCCATTGCAGACAAAAGCCAGATGTTAGTGGTTGCTAGCGTGTTTTTTGACCAGTGTCAAATAATTTTTCAATCAATCATTCTTCTTCCTCTTCCATACTCTGTCTCCTCCACCCTTCACACTCGCTTCTTCCTCCAGTCCTCTCCCTCTCCATCCATTCAGCTAGCTCGAGAGATTAGAGCTGTACGTGTAATTGGCTCTACAGGGCTTCGCCGCTGCTCCTTTAAGCACTGATGAACACTTGACGAGGGTGTGTGTGTGAACGAGTGTGTACGCAGTTGCCAATCCTCAGCATAACGACACACTATTCACTTCCCTCAGGTATGCAACTCTGGCCTGTTGTGTGACTAACCAGCAGCCTGGAGGAGCACAATTAAAGCCAGAGACAATGGGGTTCCGTGTTGTCTGGTTGGAGAAAACTGCGAGGAAGTGGTAGTTGCTGTGTTGCTGCTGCGAGGATGTGTTGTTGACAAGTTTGCAGATGCCGCAGGGAGCGTTCCTGTGCTCTTGTATATAGGTTGAGGATCTGCAGTCAAATGTTGCTGTGGGAGCCTGAGTCTGCAGAAAGCATTCAAAAGACAAGCGGGCCCACCGAGTGGAAGGAAGTAGTAGAGGGATGTTGGATCGGGGAGTTGGAGAGTGGGGGGAAGCATATGAGCACATCGACTCACTTCAAAAGGTTTGAGTTTAATTTGTGAGAGGCCGGAGAATTCCGAGACAAAAAGGTATAACTACAAAGAAGCTATCATTCTCTTTCTTCAAATCTCACATTCTGTCTGTGTCATGACACTCATCTTCAAACCCTGGATCCACATCCAAGATTTAACACAGCCCGTCTCTGTCCACTGCAGCCGCTCACAGCAGATACGTACAAAGCTGCTTTTCAGACATGCGCTTAAGCCCCGACATCTTCCATAGGGTCAGTACGTGAGAACGCAAAAGTCAGTTACTCTGAACATTTTACGGATCTTTTCCTGCAAGTCCTTTAATCACATGTCCAGACAACATCCGAGCCTGTGTGTCAAT